GGCTTTTTGTCGAAAAATGTCGAAAAATGACATAAAATGTGAAAAATTCAGCGTTTTTTTTTTTCATTTTCCCACATTTTTTCCAACGGTTTTTCGCTGATCGCGGCGAGACCCGTGGATATTGTTAAAAAATAAAGAATTTTGAATTCCCGCCGTAAACCGACGCACGGGTCTCGCAGCGATAAGCGAAAAAGCCTTGGAAAAAATGCTGAAGTTTCCACATTTTTTGTCATATTTTGACATCCGTGAATAAGGAAAAAATAGTTTTTGAATCACTTTTTTCGATCATGAATAACCCTATGAATCTAAAATCATCATGTTTTTCCCATAGAAAAAAAGAAATACTAATCCATAAGAAGCCGGAAATCCGAGCACATCAGACCTCGGGATTGGAAGAGAAAAAGGGGAGAGAGAAAAAGCCGATATTAGCCGAGAGATGGGGTCAGGGGTCCTTTAATAACGTGCACACACAAAGCAGCGGACCCATTGAGAGACGAGGGGCAGGTGGTTTATTTTAGTAAAGAAGCGGGCAAAAAAGAAGAGGGAAGGGCTGCTGGTGGGAAATAAATGAGAGGATATTTTTGTTGTTTGGGCGTGCACCCCCCACCAAAATCAGCTTATGCCATGATAGTGTCTAGTTAAACGCACGAATAAATAATTTTACGATAAAGCGGAGCGTCGAAATTGAAATGTGTTGCATCAAACTATCAGTTTTGATAAGAAGAGCATTTACGACTTGGTCGCATTAAACGTGGGGTGAGAAAGTACTAGGACGGTTAAAGTACAGAATCTAGAGGGGCTTGAAAGGATTACTGTGGAGGGGTGTCTGTAGGTTGGAACACTCTGTTTTGATAGGTTCAAAGTTTAAAATTTTGTGTAACAAAGGAAGTGTTGCCCACACGTGGGTTAGGAAGTTTTTATAATTCAATGATCTAAAAGTAGATGTTAGTGTGAGTGGATTCTGAAATTTCTATCCCTCACTTGAGCCTGAAAGTCTGGAAATTTTAATCTGAAATCGACATGTCGACATTTCAGATTTTCAGATGAAGATTTCCAGACTCTCAGGCTCCATATTGCTGTAAATTTCAGAATCCACCCACAGAAGCATCTACTTGCAGACCACCAATTTGTAGAAATTTCCTAAACCATGTGAAAAAAAAAAACTCCTTTGTAAGAAACGTGGCTGGAGACCAGTCAGAAATGTGTAAACTCTCAGTAAGTGATGGGTACTATTGGATAGCTGGAAGGAAATCAGACTCGGTTACGGTTAATCCTGTAATTCAAGTACACCCAGTATGTCCAGAGCAGCATATCTCGGTTGCCTTCAAAGCTACCTAATTGTAATTAACTGTAGAAATGTTATGCAAAACATTTGAAAAATTTTAATAGTTGTACATTTTTTGATATCTTCAAAAACAACCGAGATATGCTGTGCACAGGAATAGCTTTGTACTCAAGTTGCTCAACCTAGATTAGGTTATAGCAGTTACAAATTACAGTGCCGAAAACGATTTTGTTTTAGATTTTCATTTTCAGACTATAGTCATGTATTATTCAATTTTTAAATATGATATTCAACTGCATCACTCTAGATCCATTTTTATTTTTTTTCCATTTGTGATAATTTTTGCATCACGCATATAATACGTGTAATTGATACGTATCTCATTGACTTTTGCATCACCAATTACCTATATAATCATTTTTTCTATGAAACAGATAAACACGTTGTCATCATGCTTGTTATCATTTCTCTCTTCTTCTTCTTTTCTCTATTTCATTTTATCTAATGTTTACTTTCAATACGTATTGATTTCAGTTACGCCATGTCCAAACCAATTCTCTACTCGGCATGGACCTCATCTTGCTCTTCAAGAGTCCGGATTGCTCTTGCTCTCAAAAAAATCGACTATGAATATCACACAGTGGATATCAAAACTGAGGAGGAGATGAGAGAGTTTGCCATGACAAACCCGGCAAAAAAGATACCGATTTTGAAAATCAACGGGCTAGTTTTGACAGAATCCCTGGCAATTATTGAGTATCTGGATGAGGTGTATCCAGATCCACCACTTCTTCCCAAAGATGCAGGGGAGAGAGCTCACGCGAGAGCTATTGCTTTTCATGTGAGTAACCCTTAAGTTTTTTCAATTCATTGAGAACTGTTCAGATCGCTTCTAACATCCAACCTCTTCAGAACAAGGCTATCATCCACAAGTTGAATGAGAAGGTGCCAGGGTATGGCGCTGAGGTTAGTTTCTAATTCTGTCCTTAGGATGTCAAAAATCAAAAAAAAATTGAGTTTTTCAGTGGACCAAAGACGTCATCTCCCGTGGCTTCGAAGCCCTGGAAGAGCTTCTGAAGATGTACTCTGGGAGTATTGCGTTGGAGACCAGATCACCATCGCCGACTTGAACCTCCCATCAATTGTGTACAACGCAACGGATAAGTAAGGGCTTATTCACCTTAAAGGCGCAGAGCAATATTTTCTTCAGGTACAACGTCGACATCACCCCATACCCACTGATCTGTAAAATCAACAAGACGTTATCTGAAATTCCAGAGTTCCAGGCGTCGGAGCCAGCCAGACAACCGGATGCACCGAAAAAAATTTAAATGAATTGGGGGAGAGAAACAAGTTTATCGATCGTTGTTAAAAATTCGGGAATTGTTAGAAAAAATTGAGAAAAAATAAAAGAAATAAATGGTTATAATACTGACAAAAAAGCATAGCGAACACGGCAGTTAAAGCATGAAAAAAGTAAAAAAAAAGTAGAAAATACTTGGGAATTTTTGTTGGGGGGAATTCACATAAAAAAGCAATCTTAATACTCATCTCCTTCCTCTCCGTTATCCTCCAAACTGTCTACACCGACCTCCTCGTAATCCTTCTCCAGAGCGGCCAAATCCTCACGAGCCTCACTGAACTCTCCCTCCTCCATTCCCTCACCGACGTACCAGTGAACGAAGGCACGTTTCGCGTACATCAGATCGAATTTGTGATCCAGGCGAGCCCACGCCTCGGCGATGGCCGTGGTGTTGGAGAGCATGCAGACGGCGCGGGGAACCTTGGCGAGATCGCCTCCCGGGACGACGGTTGGGGGTTGGTAGTTGATTCCGACCTGGAAAATGGGTGTATGAGAGGGTGGATGGGGCTGTTTAGGTAGTTTTTAGGAGGTTTCGGCCCTCGCCTCGTTTTGGGCCCATCAAGACTGCTGCCACGGACAGGGCTGCCAGAATGGCAGCCGCGGCCTAAATTACAGCGGCTTAGCGGCCCTGGCGGCCTAGCGACCCTAGAGGCCTAGCGGTCCTGACGACCTTCCACGGCCTGACCTATTCACAGGCCGCGGCCGCCATTTTGACAGTATTGGTTATCGAGGAGCGAGCCCTCAACGAACCGCTCAGAAGTATCAGAACACCTTGACAAAACTGATCAACTACCCTTTGACCTTTTTCCCTACTTCATATTTACAGTGATGGGATACTATGATCATATTAAAGTCAACAACACTTTCCCTCGTTTTTCTTCACTCTCTCTCTCTTTCTTCCCACAGACTGTTATTTGTTTGATTATAGAATAGGCGAAAGTTACACACTCACATACGAATGACGTCTGTGTCAACTGATACTGGAAAAGACAGGGAAAGATACTGGGCGTTCTGGGGTACTAGTACTGAGAGGGGTCAAAAAAAAAGAAAAGAAAAAATCACCTTGAATCCTGTCGGGCACCAGTCAACAAACTGAATGCTTCTCTTGGTCTTAATCGTCGCGATCGCCGCATTCACGTCCTTTGGCACGACGTCTCCACGGAAGAGCAAACAAACGGCCATGTATTTTCCGTGACGTGGATCACACTTCACCATTTGATTGTGTGGCTCGAAGCACATGTTGGTGATCTCGGCAACCGACAATTGCTCATGGTAGGCCTTCTCGGCAGAGATGACCGGGGAGAAGGTGGCAAGTGGGAAATGGATACGTGGGTATGGCACCAAGTTGGTCTGGAACTCAGTGAGATCCACGTTGAGAGCACCGTCGAAACGAAGGGATGCGGTGATGGAGGACACGATTTGTCCGATGAGACGATTCAAGTTGGTGTATGATGGACGCTCAATGTCCAAGTTGCGACGGCAGATGTCATAGATAGCCTCGTTATCAACCATGAATGAGCAATCCGAGTGCTCCAAGGTGGTATGAGTGGTCAGAATCGAGTTGTACGGCTCCACAACAGCCGTGGAGACCTGTGGAGCGGGGTACACCGAGAACTCCAACTTGGCCTTCTTTCCGTAGTCAACAGACAGTCTCTCCATCAAGAGGGAAGTGAATCCGGATCCGGTTCCTCCACCGAAAGAGTGGAACACCAAGAATCCTTGGAGTCCGGTGCAGTTGTCGGCGAGCCGACGGATACGGTCCAGGGTCAGGTCGATGATCTCTTTTCCGATGGTGTAGTGACCACGGGCGTAGTTGTTGGCGGCGTCTTCTTTGCCGGTGATGAGTTGCTCCGGATGGAAGAGGGAGCGGTAGGTTCCCGTGCGGATTTCATCTGGAATTTGGACATTTTTTTCAGCGACGGGAATAATGACTATGCGCCTTTAAGATGAACTTCTAATTTGGAGTTTGGTCCCCCTCCTCCGTTTCAATGTCCTCCTCATCTTCCCAAGCTCCCCGGGCTCCTCTCAATGAATTTTATGTGTTTCTTCTTCTATTTCTTCTCCCCTCTCCTTATTTCAACACTTTCGGGTTTTCTACTGCCTTCCCTCTCGGTTTTCGATGAATATCCGATGCTTTCCATCTTCTTCTTCTTCTTCCCACTTTTTATATGAATAGTAGAGGAAGAAGAGAAGGAAAACAGAGGATGGGAAAAACGAGAAGAAGAAGAAGATGGCTCAAGTTTTGGTATGGTGGTGGTGAAAATGAAGAATGAGGTTCGCTTGGAAAAACAGGGTCTCGTGGGATGGTTGAAAGAACATTTTTTTGGAGAAAAAAAACAAAAACAAAAAATTTGGCCCCGGTGGGGTTTGAACCCGCGATTGGAATTTCTAAGACAGGGGCGCTAACCGTTAGGCCACGGGTGTCAAAAGCAAAAGGCAAGGTAGAGGGCGTAGACATTTTCGCTCTCTTCTAGAAGTCGATTAGGCTTTTTTTCAGGTCCCTTTCACTAGTTTCAATTCTGCAAAAACGCCAATGACGTTCTCAAAGAGCATCACCATTCCATTTCCGTCCGCTGCTGCTCCTCTTTTGCGGCGCTCAATTTTCAAAAGACGCTGCTCTTCTCGAAGAGAGAGCTCATTTCAATTCTTTTCTGGTCATTGTGTGATGCAATTAGGACGGCGCGGAGGAGGACTACCCATTTTGCACCATCTGCTAACATGTATATGCAAATATGGGGTATCCCTTTCGGAAGAAGGTTGTGGGAAAAGGCTATTAGCGGAAATGAGTACTTCAGAAGACTTGAATAAAGAAGAAAAAACGAATTGGCCCCAGTGGGGATCGAACCCAGGGTGAAAATTTCAAAAACCAGAGTTTTACCAATAGGCCACGGGTGCAACAGCCCAAATCAAAGCAAAAGGCGGTAACCTTACTGCGGCTTTTTCTCGCTTCTCCCGCTTGTTCAATAACGGGGAGAAAATCTACCGTAACCCGGCTATATCACAACCTACAGACTCCAAATTTCCCTACAAGACCCACCAATAACAGTCGGCTCCAAGTCGACCATCACCGCTCTCGGCACGTGCCGTCCACTTCCAGTCTCCGAGAAGAATGTCGAGAACGAGTCGTCGGATCCACCCAACGACTTGTCCGACGGCATCTGTCCATCGGGTTGAATTCCATGCTCCAGACAGTACAACTCCCAGCAGGCGTTTCCGATTTGGACTCCGGCTTGTCCGATGTGAATCGAAATTACCTCTCTCTGAAAAGAATTCCTATTTCGCAATACATTTTCCTTGGATCCTCTATTTCTCTTCTCCCTAACTTTCTCTCTTTTTTTTCAATTTCGTCCTTCCTCAAAAGAGGGCCCTCCACAAATTGGATACATTTTGTTGTCCTCCTTCCCCTGCGCCCTTTAAAACATCGGCTCACAAACATTCCCGAGAGCAGTTTTCAGTTGAATTGGCAACCCCTCGAAAGTGGTCCTGGTGGGGAGAAAGAGTTCCGGATGTCCGGTGGTGGAGCCCCGCGCACGGCAGGTGTGCTCAATGAGTCGAAAAATGGGCTGTGTTGGGGGGCGGGGGGGGGGGGGGGGGTGAGGAGGTCAAAATGTTTACGTGTAAACCTTCTAAACATCATCTTGTAAAGGGTGTTGAAGGGGAAATATTAAGGAAAAGGAAATTCAAAGTGGGATTTGGGGTAGTGACCCGTTAATTTGAAGGGGAAAATGAAGTCATGGGTAGCGGTTCCTCAGAATTAGTGAAGATTAGCCAAGAATTCAGGAGAATGAAGCTGGCCGCATGGTCTTAAAGCTGCTAGCGGGTTTTGGAGCTGCTTACTGGTCTCAGAGCTAACAGAACTTAAAGTACCTCGTTAATCTGAAGTTGCTGACGGAACTTGAAGCAACTAACGGATCCTAGGTCTGCTAACAGAGCTAAGAGCTGCTAATTGATTCCACCGCTGTTAACTGACTCGAAAGCTACTGACTGACGCTTCTTACCGGTTTTTTGAACCCGATAAAAAAAGTCACGGAGCTGCTAACAGACTTGGGACCTGCTAGCTGATTATAGACCTTCTTCTCCGGGACCGTGAGCCTCTCCAGGACCGTAAGCCCCTACTGAACGTTCTTAGAGCTGCTAACTGAACCTAGACCGGCTTACAGTCTTCAGAAAGCAGCTCATTCTGAAGCTGTTAGTAAAAATGAAAACCGACTTGAAATTTGGAAAATTTATGCCCAAAAACCCAAAAACCCCAAACCCCTCTCCCCATCAAACATACCATTTTTCCGTTCGTCTAAGTTGATACTTCTCTCGGGATGCAGTGGGAGGACGAGTGGTGGTGGTGCTCTCTCTGTGAGTGTCCCTTTTCCCATCGCCGGCCCCCCGAAGAAGGCGTGCTGCTCCCAATGTCTTCGTCTCCTAGTCCCGCCGTACTATTTCTCCTCCATCAGTATCTCTTTTGGGCTCCGCCTTTTTTCTTCCTTTTACGCGTCTCTGGCAACATTCTTTTGGGGCACACTGCACAAATGATTGGCGTTTTTTGACATGTTTAGAGGAAAAAGGAATTTTTTTGTGTTGACGGAGGAAGAGGAAGAAAGGAAGAAACAATTTAATTAGTTGGGATTAAAATGGGAAGAGCAGGAGAATGTGCATTTCTTGTCCTTTGTGATGAAATATGGTTCCTATCTTTTAGAGTTTCAAATAAGAGTTATTAGGAAAGGTATGAAAGAATCGAGAAAAAGTTTTAGAATAACATTTTTTTGTTTATCTATCAAATCTTGGGAAAAAAACCGAAAGATTCTTTGTTCACTTTTTCAAATTCATTCAATTTCTAGCAGACCTTAAGAGCCGAAATTAAAAACACAGATTAGCATAGAAAATGGATGTTTTTCTACAAGCAGCATTTTCGTCAAAAATACGAGGGGTTCGATCATTGAACAAAAACAGTTAATCAAAATTTTTGAAAATTTGTTGGAGACTTGAAAAAAAAAACGGGAGAAAAACTGAAATTCTCAGTAAAGCATATGCAATCTTGTTGTTTCTCAAAGGTTATTGGGACTTTCAATGTGCAGTACTGTACCAGAACTGCTCATATTCCAGATTTCTTCTATCAGAACTAGCAAGATTAAACAAATTTACAGGCAAAATAACTTATCAAATCATCATTACATCTACAAAAAATTAGATTTTAAAACGAATGAAAACTTGAAAAAGAATGTTTGAAATGATCAAAAACTGTGAAATTCACAAGTTGATGCAAAAACTAATAAATTGTCAGTTCAGTAGAGTCAGTCCGTTTCATTTCTGAAGAGCGAGCTAAAGTTGGAACTCAGTAGCATCCTGTATTGCGTAGTTGTTTTTTCCGGGTTGTACAGTACCTAAAAAAAATACACAAAATCCTCTAGTTGTTCAGATAATAAATTATGACACCACTTCACAGGTCTGGTCAAATGTTTCGATTTAAAAAAAAAAAGAAATTATGAATATTTGGGAAATTGCTCATAACAAGCAGCATCCACTGGGGAATTTATTTGATAATACTCAATTACAAGGTTGGAATCTAAGCTTCGATCGATACATAAAACAACTCTCGATGTTCTAGTAAAAGTGCTGACTGTTTGGTTAACCACTTTTCACTGACTACTGTTCATAGAATAAATTGTTCATAGAAATACATGATTTTTTCAAGCCTTTTTATAATTAGGAAAATGATTTTCAGATCTGCTGATAAAAACCCAATTGAAAGGAATAAAACCAATTTATAACTAGTACAGTAGCAGTTGATGCAATTGACCAGTAAGAATTGTTATCCTAGTGTGTATCCACTTCTATTGACACTGAAATTACAGTAATATAGTCAATAGATAAGATTTTCTGAAAGCTGTTTTTCTTCTGTAAGTATATACTTCCATTTGGTTTTTGGTTTTTTAGTCTTCTAGTGTAAAAACTGAAAAAAGCGGCAAATTCAACACTCTTCAGAGGCGAACATCATAATTTTCAACTCTAAACATAACTAAAACCAATTCCCCATCCTCAGATTGCCCCCCAATTCTCTCCCAATTCAGCAGCCATCTGCCTTCAACTCCTTCCTTTTCCTCCATTTCGCGAAAAAGGGGTCCTCAAGCTTTCCGAGGGCCCGAAACCCTCCTTCCTCCTCCTCCTGTGCAAACAGTATCAAGTTACTTCCATGCAACGACTCCGCCCCATTCTACAGTAGTCAGAGACGGCAAAACATCATAGTAAATATAGAGAATCCGAGAAAAAAGGCCATCTGGAAGAGCTGGGGGAGAGGGATTGGTTTACCGCTTCTTCAGAGCCCCCTTCGAATCTAATGCATTCTGATTCTGACTGCTGTGGAGACTACTGGTCCTTCTCTCTCTGGTGAGTTTTCTTCAGTTTTTAGTTCACTTTTTTCTTCTTCTTCATAACAAAAGCCATTATGTATGAATTTGGAAGCATCTTTTCTGACCATTTCCATGCATTTTTGATGGGGTGCTGATGAGTTTCTTGGGAAGGACATCCGGGTCATCTTTTGATGAATCTAGGGGGATGGAAGGGAAATGTAGGGAAATGGAAAATGTTGAGCCTAGGAGGTACCGGGAGATACTGTACTTTGAGGGATAAGGTGACTGTCAAAATAGCGGCCGTGGCCTAAGAAATCAGTCAGGCCCTGGAACTACTCATGGCCTACTCAGGGAATTTTTTGGCAAGCTTGCAGTTCGTCAGCGGCAATTTGCGAAATTTCAGGAATTTGCCAGCAAGAACGGCAAGTTGCCTAGCGCGCGGCAAGCAAACAGCAAGTTGCCAGTTTGAAAAGCGGCAAGCTGGTAAATTTGCACGGCAACTTGCCGATTATCCCCTGCATCAGTCCCAAAAGAGTCCCAAAATCCCCCCCCCCCCCCTGCGCCTTTAAAGCACTCATCCCTTTCCCTTTCTCATCCCCCTGTCATCCCAATTCTCCGATCATATACATCATCCCATTATTCATTTCCTTCTTCACTCCGCCCTCCTCAAATTGGTGTCCTCTTACCTTCTTCAGACAACCCAATCTCACTAAAACGAGGACATAAAACCTGTCATCGGAGCAAGGAGGTATAAGTGCTTTTTACTATTAGTAAAAGCTCAGCTTTTCGATGAAAGAAAAGCACTAAAAATCTGATTTTGGTAAGTTATTAAAGGCCCTATCCATCTGTCAGGACTTCACAATAGTCGAATACCGATAGCAGGATATTCGTTGTTGATGAAGTCTTAATGGGTGTTTTGATGGGGTATTTTTGTGTTTTTTAATGACTTTAAAGAGAGAGGAACAGGAAAACTACAGGGACTTTCCATGCTTTTTTGTGTCAGCGTCAGCTCACCGTGTTTGCGGACTTTCATTACTGTAACACAGAGTTCCCAAACACCGTTCACTACAACACGCTCAAGCAA